TATTTTCATGAAACATTTTCTTGGCTTTCATATTCGTTTTCTTCCTTTTATTCTGTGTGTGTGTGTGTGTGTGTGTGTGTGTGTGTGTGTGTGTTACTGAGGACTGAACCAAGAGTCTTCTCACTGAGCTACATCCCCAGCTCTTCTCTCATTTTTCATTTTGAGACAGTGAGGCAGGAGATTAGGGTGTGGCAGCCTGGCTGGGAAAACTGAGCTTGACCTATTAGTTGCAGAGTTCCAAGGCACATGAGCAGAACCCTTCCCAAGGCCCTGTACTTGGAATCAATCAGAGTGCTGTCTTCAATTTTCAAATTCTTCTCACAAGAATTTGAGCAAATTTTCAATAGGACAGGTTAGGCCTGATGTCAGACTGAAGAGTGGGAGATACAAAAGGACAGTCACCACTGAACTCTCTACTACTTTGTTCTCTGTTTACATGGTAGTCCATTCTTACTTCATAGAATGCATTTCTTTTCCTACTTTTACTTGGCCCGAACTCACTCTGCAGAGCATGTTTTATTTTCTACTTTTAATAAATGTAAACCATCATTTTCTTTTGTACTTGTCTTGACCAATTCTTTGCTTGGGACAGAAAGAATCTAAAAACCACCTCTGAAGACTCCAGCACCCCAGAACCTGGTAGCAATAGTCTTGGTAATTCACTAAATTGTCCAGGTTGGACTCAGACTTGCAATCCTTCTACCTCAGCTTCCCTGAGTGCTGGGATTACAGGCCTGTACCACCAGGCACAGCTCACCTCACCCAATTTTTATCTGAACTTCTCTTTTCCATTTCTTCTATTTTTCCTGTCCTGCTGAATTTGAATTCCTCTTCTAATAATTTCTCTTCCATGGAACTTTGCTTTGGATGAAAGCTTTTATTCGCCAGATCAAAGAATTTATAAAGCCCAAATTCTCCTAGGACAATCACAGCATTTCTCGGGAGTCCTTTTTCCCTCACTGGATCCTACAAGGCTCTTCTTTGTTCTGGCTGCTGTTCTTGATTTCCAGAGTATGGTACCGGCTGGGGGTGGGAGTTTCTCCTGTGTTCAGGGCCATCTGATACCCATTGTTTCCTTTGCTTCTTCCTAAGTGCTAACAGAACCCATTTAGATTTGGGTAGTTGCACATACTGTGGCTTGTACATAGTGCCTATCTGGTTTTGGTTACACTATCCCAGTGGAAGTTTATGGGATAATTCAGATGGATTAAAAATTATACAATCTTTACTTCCTCTTGACAGAATTAGTGACTTTTTTTTTTTGAGACAGGGTCTCTCCCTGTAACCCAAGCAGGTCTTGAGCTCTTCATCCTCCTGCCTCAGATTCCCCAGTTCTGGGGTTATAGGCATGTACCACCATGCTCAGCCATGACTAGATATTTTGTAAAACACTCATTGACTTTCCTGTGTGACCATGGTTGAAATCCATTGTTCTAAACACAGAAAATCCATATTTGACAACCAAGCTCCGTGCCTACAACTGGGTCATTAAAAGAATTGGTCTAAATAAGGATTTGTATATAGTACATACATTACAATATTCAGAACAAAGAAATGATGAAGGAAACTCCAACTTGAGGACTTTGCTTTTATTTGCACAACTCTTACATACAGTACTACAATGTATAACAAAACATAAATCTATAATACTGTACTTTATAGTACCATCAGAAAATTATAATACTGCATAAACCAGATATACTGTACAAAAAAAGACACTAAGGCTCTATAAATAAGATGCACAAAACTGTACCCCCAAAAAGGCAGGTTGTAAATCCAAGTGGCAGGTCATAATCTAAATAGTAATTAAGTAGGTAGATTGTTGAATGAGCAATATCTGCATTAGACATCATAGTATCTAAATAATTCAATGAAAATTGTTTTTCTTAAGAACACATCCTGTCCAATAACCTTTAAAATAAGATATAGCAGCCACCAAGAAATCATCACAGCAGCTGAGTTCAGGCAATATTGATCCCTCACACGTCAGAAAAGGCAGGGCTGAAAATGATTCAGAAACAGATGCAACTTAGATGTGATCTCTAGCAAATCAATAAAATGTCTATGTTCCCTCACATACCCTTTCCTGTCATCTTAGGAGCTTTCATGAGTTTTTCAAGGTTACACTGATCACACAGTTGACATTGCTGGAAGCTGTGCTTTGAATGTGCAATTTGGGATCCTTAATTAAGGGGCTTCTGCAAGAGACCAATGAAACTAAAATACTACTAATAAGATATCACAGAACCATGAAACTGCTTGCTGTAAAAATCACTGGAAATGCCAAGTATTCTTGACAATGAGACTGGCATTAATGGAGCCACAACTTTGCCTACCTCTGCAGTACGTACCTTGGAGGATAAAAAGACATTAAAGTATGTAGTAAAGAAGCTGACTAGCCAGGGGTGTAAGACAAAAATTAAATGCATAATACAATCACAGAGCCAAGAACAACTATGATAATTAAATGATCAATTGTTACCTGTAGTTCGGAAGTGTAATAACCCTGGAGAAAATATGTTTACCCACATGATATGAAATACAAATCTAAGCATTTCAAAGGTAACGTCACTTCTAAAGAATGTTTATATCTGAAAATTTATTTAACTCTGAATGAATTACTTTTTTAATTGGTTTTATTATCACTTGAGGAACTATTGGAAGCAAATAGTCCTTCAAAGTCAGCCCAATAAAGAGAGTGCACTGAGGGTCGGGGATGTAGCTCAGTAGTGCCGCACCTGATCCCCAGTAATGGGAAAAAAAGAAAAGAGTGCACTGATAAATTCTCCTGGCCCTTTGACAGCTGTTCTCCCTGTATCATATCTGATCAACAGTTCTCATAAGACCATGCTCCAAGTCACTCCCTTCTGCATCAAAAAGGCAAGCCATATATTTCTTTTGCCTCAATAGCCAAAAAATATCAGGTAGTTTATTTGTGCCCAGCATCAGACATTATAGAAAAATGCATATTTTGAAGACATTTGTCTCTTCATGAATGCTGTGTATAAACATGGTCTGCACAACATGGTTAGTGAATGTGCCCACACTACAATAGGCTATAGACACTCCTTATTTAATGACTGAGTTCCAGTCCTACAATTAGGTTGTTAATTGAATTGGTCACTAAATGAGAAACTGCACATAGTATTACCTTATAATATTCAGAACAAGGAAATAGTCAAAGGAAGCTCCAGCTTGACGACTTTGTTTTTATTTGCATAACTCTTACACAGGTACTGTAATATATAACAGATCATAAAACTACAGTACTATACAGTACAATCAGCAGAAATTACACTACTATGTAAACAAGGTGTACTGTAGCCCCCAAAAAGGGACACTGAAGCTTTAAGAAGATGTACAGAACTGTATGAAAAACAGATGGGTTGTAAGTCTGAACAGCATGCCTCAGTCCTAAGTCAGAACAGTCACTAAACAGGTAGGTCATTAAGTGAGGAATATCTGTACTCCAATTACTCCAATTACTCCTGGCCTTTGTTCCTCAGGATCCAGTTTCCAGCACACACCTCTCTTCCTGCTCCCTGGTCTACCTTGGTAATCTCACCATCTTCCGTGACATTGATCTCCACCTACATCAGCATGACCACAAAGTCCCAATTGTCTTTTCTAACATTAGACTTATACATGGCCTGTCCACTCTGACACTCCCTTTGGATATCTCCTGGGCAGCATGGATTTCACTTGTTCAATTTTTCTCCTTCTGATGTTCAATGTCTCAGTTACTCTAGCCAGAAACCTGGACACCAGCCTCAATTCCTCTTCACCCTAAACCCCAATATCTAACCAATCATCTTCATTTAAAATCTCCATCCTCATGTCTCTGAAATCCCTTCAAATTATCCCCTTGATTGTTTCTGTGGTTCAAGATATCATTTCTGAATTATTATAACTTATTCTTAACTGGTTGTGTCATTATAATATTCTTTAAACATGTTAATTGACATAATTATACATATTGATGGTATATAGTATGATAATTTAATACATATATTCTGTGCATTGATCAAATCAGGGTAATTAGCATTCCATCTCCTTAAACATTATTATTTCACTGTGTTGGGAGCCTTTGAATTCCTCTTTTCTGGTTTTTTATAACTTATAATCCAATCTATCTACTCTTCCCTTTACTACTTAGCCTCTAGTGACCACTCCTCTTATTTCTATGAGACAAACTTTATCTTCCACATATGAGTAAGAACATATGGTATTTATCCTACTGTATCCAGCTTTTTACCCTTAATATAATGTCCTCCAGGTCCATCTATGTTGCTGCAAATGATAGCATGTCATATTTAATTACTGCTTTTTTTATGGTTTTGGGGATTCAACCTACAACCTTTGCACCAAGCTACATCCCCAGTGTACTGTATTTATTTTGAGACAAGTTCTCCCTAAGACATTAAGTTGCCCAGACTGAACTCTAACTCACTATCCTCCTCTTTCAATCTCCCAGAGTTCCAGGATTACAGGCATATATGCCACCAGTCTGGTCATCTGGTCACCTCAGTACATTTTTCCTGTAACAACTGAAATGATCTTTCTTGTCATTTCACCCATTACATTCGATAATGATCTAGTTTTCTTAGAGAACAAGATACAGATTTAATTTTAATAGAATGCTCTAGGGATTTATTTAGTTTTAATAGTAGTACACCATAAAACAGATCTGTCTTGCTACCTCTGAGCTTTTAACAACCAGGTAACTTTATTTGTTCTGAAAATTAATTCTCTCTCTCTCTCTCTCTCTCTCTCTCTCTCTCTCTCTCTTTCCTTTCTTTCTTTTTGTACCAGGGATCTTACTGGGGACCTTGAGGTTGCGAGGCAGGCGGCGGAAACACTGAGCTAAATCCCTGGCCGTGAAAATTAATTTTTTATCACTGTTAATGTTCACAACACAATATCTCGGGCTCAACTGGCCCTGTCTGGTCTCAGCACTTTCTGGGCACTTTCCACGAATTTAAAGCAGTTTGTTTCTCCAGACCTCAGAGTGTCGGGGCAGGCGCAGGTACAGAAGGTACAAGAAACTGGACTTCAGGAGCAGAACTTATTTTCTTATTCCATCCATAGACCGCTCTGACCATGGGAGCCCTGACCCAGAGCTTGGTGTCTTCCGCAGGATACAACTCTTGCCACGTGTGGGCGCCACTCACTGGCCGAGTCCAGAACCCCATTTTTCTAAGCGGATACACATCCTGGTCCCGGCCTACCTTCCAGCCAGACCCCTCAACCACGTGGCGATCCCGCCCCCAGAATCAGTCCCGCCTCCACGACCCGGCTGGCTCCCATTCCTCCCTTCCACGCCGACTCCGGTCAGCCCCTTCTCAGCCTGGACTCTAAGCGTTTAGCAATCCTTCATTCCCCAGGGTCCCGCCCCCAAGGCCCGCCCACCCCGAAGGTCCCGACCTCTCCACGTCCGGCCCATTTCCCCGAGGACACCGCCCGAAGCCCCGCCCATTCCTCGTCCCCGGCCATCTCCTGGCCCCGCCTCTCGCCACGCCCATGCAGGCCCTGCCCTCCGCCCCGCCTCCACGTCCAGCACAGCACCAGGCTCTCAGCGCCCTCCGCCCAGGCCCGCGCTTCATCCACAGTTCAGCCGAACCCCTCTTCCTAGTTTGAGCCCGCCCTTCAGAGGCGGAGCTGGGCCAGGTACGGTCTGGGCGTGTCAGACACCAGCCTAGTTGCGGCTCCGTCAAGATGGCTGCCTCTCACCGTGGCTCCGCCGCCTGTACCTGGCTGCTGC